CATTTCTTAGTTGATTAACTGACACAGAAACAGTACAGTATTACACTAAAGCACGCGTAACACACAAAAATAATTTCAAGGTGACACAACGAGTAAATCATGGCATTACTTTAAATAAATTTACATCTTGGACTGAGAGCTCCGCACACGCCTTCCCAGCCTGGCGGCCGTGAACGGTGTCGTGACTACAGGAAGTTAACTAAGACAGCCATTGTAGACTAAAACACTCACGGGGTCCAGTAATATGTTTTAAATGTGCATGTGTACTTTGACTGTGATTTGTTTTTATCTGAAAACCGTTATTCTAGAAAAAGACACCAATAGTATAAAATTAGTTCAGTGAAAAAAAAAATAACTTGACATTTAAAAAAAATAAGTTGACATTTTATCAGACTTTTCTATCAGAAGCAAAATATTTCCTAATTTCAGATAAGAACATTATATCTTCAAGGCATATTCTGGTTCCCTATTAATATTTTAATTTTTAGTCTACATACTGATTACTCTCGGCACATCACACGCACTCAAACTTGTTGCAAGTGGAGTGGAATTTTCTTTTCTACGGCATAATTTAAATACGGGTAACTAAGCATTATACTGGTTATATGTGATGTTTAGCTGCTTGATTTACAAATTTTACCCAGCAAAACATGAGGAGTAACGAGGCTGGGCTCGGTGCACTGAGCCACGCGGCCTGCGCTGCGGCCCTGCGGGACTGCGTTTCGCTTTCGTGCTTCGCCTCTGCTTGTCTCACTTTCTTCTCCGCTTTCCCTTTACCGCGCTTCTTCTCGGTTGCTGAGGTCAGGGACTCCTCCGGCGGCCCCTGCGGCCCGAGCTCAGGGCTGAGGTTCCGCCGGCGGCGTGGACGGAGAGCAGCGGGAGGGCAGCAGCGGGCGCACGGCTTCTGGCTTCTCCCGGTGCAGCTCGGAGCTGCCTCAACACGCGCGCGAAGCTTTGGGCTTTTCCTCGGAGACGGCCACGCGCGATCAAGAGCACACCCTGGCTGTCCACTGCTTGATACTGGACAATGCTCCTGGGGCCGGTGAGACAGCTCAGTGGCCTACAGCGCCTGCCTGGGCAAGCGGAGGCAAAGCGCAGCGAGCGCAGTTCCAGCCCCGGCACGCTGAAAATGTTTCCAACCGTTTGGGAAACTCAGCTGAACACAAAGACCCTCCTTGGTAGCCTTGATGCAGGAAACCGGGGAGTTTGTGTCCTAACTGCCGGTGTCTTTCCATACCAGACTGGGGAAGCTGCAGCCTCTGCATAGGGCAGCCTTGAGCTCCGAGTCCTGACTTGGGGACAGTGACCAGCTGGCTGCATTCTTTCCTGCTCTTTGTGCCCACTGCAGGCTGCTGAAGTCCTCAATCGTGATCTTAGCCACTTTCAGGAGACAAATGCCTCCGTTTTTCAACCTCATGATGGACCCGGGACGAGAGACCTTTTTCTTTTGTCGTCGTCGTCGTTGTTGTTGTTGTAGTAAAATACAAATACGAAATTCCAGTCACAGCATTTCTCAGCACGAAGTTCACTGACATGACAGACAGTCACACGGTGGTGTCATCACCCAGCTCCAGGGTGCCCATCCTGCAAACCTGAACCCTCCTGTCCCTCCGCACCACCGCGCAGTCCCCATCTAGCCTCCCACGCCCTCCTCCGTCTCTGTGAGGTCCGCGCTGATGCACGCCTCACATAAGTGGAATCCTAATTGGAATCTTTTTGTCCCTCCTTTGTCTACCTTTCCCAGTTCCTTTTAATACACTTCAAATGTGATTTCTCCCACAGAAGGGGGTCATTAATTTGATCCCTTTTTTATCTTTCTCTCTGGGAAGAATTTCTAAAATCGTGTCATCTCCTCTGTACCCTCTTCATTCCACTCATAAGCATCTTCTTTTTAACAAGGTAAAGAAAAGCTACTTGGGAAAATTTCTGATTCTTTCATACAGGTATGAATTTAAAAATGTATAATTAATTAAAACAAAGAACTACAGCTACTAATGCCTAAAATCTCAACAATACCTAAAGGTTCCTTTCAGTCACTATAAAAGTTTCATATTAACTTAACTTCAATTGAAAGTATTTCTCTGTTATAAAAAATACCTTTTAACTCCCCTGTACTGCTTTTTTCTTGGAGGCTGATGCCCAGCATCTCAACAGTACTCTTTTTCTCTCTGCTCTATGAGAAGTATGTAAATTTTAACTGTGTTGTTTTTAAAGACTGGAGTCTGAAAATCAACTTTCTGACAATACTGTTTCTCTGGGCAAGTGTTCTAAGTTCTAAACAGTTCCTGAGCAATGAACTTCTAGGACACAATTCACTTACAAACCGGAAACTGTGTACTGGAAGTTCCTCACAGACTTTCATCAGCAACTCAGAGCTGAAAGCTCTAAATCAGGTTGGTGCTCAAAGGCATACGTTAAACAGTGACAGAAGCCAGCCACGGCGCTGCAGCGCGTACCTCCTCCAGACCCCAGGGCAGAGTACGCGGGGACTTGGTCATCACAGCTGAAAGCCCACAAGCCAGTGCTGTGATTGGTGGATTCTGTCACTATCTTGTGACATGGAAGACCCACTTGGTTTTTCAAATGTTTAATATTTAAAACTTGACAAAGTTATACACACACACACACACACACACACACACGTACTGTGTAAGCAGTGTGATGCTCTGAAGCACATCTACGCCATGGCATGGCTCAGTGATGCTAATTAACACACACTGCCTCACATATTTAGGATTTAAAAAAAATTCTATCTGGTTTTCCTAAATGTATTTTTCCATTGCATGTTGAAAAAAGATATGCTTAACAGGGAAACAGAAAAGGACTTTGAAGTCACTGAAGTCAGGAGAGGGCACTGAAGTTGACAATGGTTTCTAAGACAGCAAGCCGGAAGTTGCAGAAATGACGACAGTTAGCCAGTTGTATTAGTCCGAAGGAACAACTTACAGAAAGTCATGCAAAATGACTAAAGAGATAAAAACAATGTTAAAGAAAACCCTCAGCTCTTGCCTGCAACGCTAACTGAAAGGTCACACCCTGCGTGAGGGCTGGCTGAGTTTCTCAGCCCTGGATGCTGATCTGCGAAGCTCTACTCCGGACAGATGGGTGCAAGCAGCAGCCACAATGAAGCTGCTGTAGGGCACAGAGAGTGTCCTCAGGACCTTCCTTGCTCCCCACAGGTCTGTGCAGGGCCACAGGCAGGCCTGCCTTGGTTGGGGAGCTTACAGGTCTGCCCCTTAGCAATTCATGGAGAAGAAACAAAGCAGCTTGAGCTGCCTTGTGTTTATTTGAAACCCCACTTTTCAAGACAAGACATTCATCACATAGAACACGAACTCCTTCGCCAAACTCTGAACACTTATAACCACTTCCACGATATCTGACGCTCAGCTCTTTGCAGGTTCACGGTATTCTTTGATTACTTAGTGCATGCAATGTGCCTTCTCTAAGCAGCGTACATGGACCTGATACTTCAGTAGGGTTTACTATCCCTGAACTCTGCTCTCTACGGTGGGTGTCTCATCAGCCAGGTTGCTGAGCTCCCAGGATGAAGTCGTAGCGTGTAAGTGCCTCGCTAGTCACCGGCATTCAACGAATACTAGTTCCACATGCTAATCTCAGCTCAGCTTTCTGGGAAAAGCGTGGAAGAGAATTCAAACCTGCCATTCTCTTGGGGCCACAGCTGAGGAGAGAAACCTTGACGCCTGTCTATAAGGAAACTGGCTCATCGCCTAGGGAATATTAGGTCCCAAAGACAGGAATTATGTGGGCTTTTTTTCTTTCTTTCTTTCCCTAGCACACAAATAAGTAGGAAAAATTTGCATATTAAATGGATAAAATCTTTTTCCCCATTAGTCTCTTAGGTTAGTGTTCCCACACTGTATGATTTTCTTCATTCATCATTTATTTATTTAAATGGGCTTTGGAGAAGTGCTTTCTTTAAGTTTATTTAATTTTACCTTTTTTGGGCAGAACCGGGGATTGAACTGAGGCCCTTACGCTTCCCAGGGAAGTGCTTATTCCACTGAGCCATCTCCCGCCCCCATTCATCATTTTTTTAAAAATCCCAGAAGTTAAGGTGATTCTAGGAAACAAATCAACATGGCACCCAATGTGTAGAGATGGAGGTTGTGGCGCTCCTTTGAGTGTGCTGACTGCGACGGGGCTGGCCTGGGGAAGGCTGAGGATGGAGGAGGAAGGCTGCTGGCTGCTGACCCTGGACCAGGGCACACTGTGGTGGGACAAAGCTGCTCTCCTTGAACAACATGGCCAGATAGCAGCGGGAGCTCTTGGCAGCGCCCAGGCAGTGGTATGCATCGCAGCATCATCCCTGGCTGGGCGGTAGGTTCCTGCCAGGGAAGACGGCCAAGCGGCCTGAGGCAGCAGTACAGTGGACGAGTGGCCAGGGCTCTCTGGTGCGCTGCCGTTTCTGGCCTGCCAGTCCGCCACTGGCGAGAGGTTTGGACACTACAGGACCCTATTTTCCGCTGGCTTTCATATGTAAGTACTGTGCCTACATATTTTGTTCTTTAAAATGAGATTTGCTGGAAAATGGTTCTTAGCTTTCCTAGTCAGTAGGAACATACTGATTATGGGTCTGAAGGGGACCTATATTTCACTCTGCTCCCAACCACTGGTGGTTTTCAGTGTGACCACATGACTACGCTTGTTGACTAGTAGCTTCTCACAGTACTAACATCTGTCATGAATGCCATCACGAGAAACCACTTGCCCAAAGACTTTAAAAAATTATAGATGGCATTTTAACCACTTACTTCTTTCAAAGGAGAAACTTCAACATTTTAATGGTTATTGTTTGAAATGTTTAGTCCCTAAAACTATTTTAATAGGGACTCTCTTTTATATGATCCCAGAGCAGTTATTTTTACTTAAAGTGATAGATATATGAACTCAATTTTCCATCAGGACATACATAAAGTTAATTAAGATTCTTCTCCAAGGTAAAGGCAAAAAGTGAAAAGTGACATTTTGAATATTACCTTTCAGCATCATTCGTCCAGTGGATCCTCCAAAAGAATTTAGAAGACCACTTCTTGCTCCTAAAGACGTTGTTGCCTCCAGGAGAGAACCTGTGACGTACTGAGATATGGACGTCCTTTGGAGGGTGGCGCGATACTCACACGCAGTGCCTTGGACACACTGCGTTAAGTGCGGACCGGCGCTAATCCTTCCATGGACTGTCTCAGGGGCTGGGAGCTTTGTGGAGAAATGAAGAAGAGATGCAACTGCCTTTTCTGTTTCTTCTCTTCTCACTGCATTGTAGATCTGTGAATAGCACACAGCACAGGAAGCATTAATCTACTTTCTTAGAAAAGCAAATTAACTTGTTGACAAAATGCCAAGATGACTTATTAAGAAAGAAGGTTCAGTCGCTCTCAGCGCAAACACTCTTGAGCACCGGACTCATGCATTAGCCTGAACATTCTACAGGCACCGTTTATTTGGAGAAGCTATGTGTAGTTATGAAATAGGCCATTCAAACAACTCTGCTATCAAACAGAACACTTAAAGTTGTACCAACTCAAAATACATTTACCTCAAACGAGTCCTCTTGCACAGAGGAACAAAGTTCCTCCGCAGAGGGACAAGGGCAGACCTTTTCTTCCTACCCCTTTGGACTCTTCTGAACATCCCATGTCTGTCTGCCTTTATGAAGCACTTCCATCTGATATTCATGGGGATCTTTGCCTCACATTCTAACTGCAGTGAGGGTGAAAGGGCCATGGGGAGGGAGGATTTCTCCACTTTTCTCTTTGGCATAATCCAGTGTATCGCCTACTGAGATCAAAGTCTCTGAATTTTTTTCTCTCACTCATAGCCACCTATACTCAGTGAATTGACAGCATCTCCCTACTGTTGTCACTGTGCTGATTCATCTCTCTTTTTCACTTGAATTTACCAAGAATGATCTCATTAAGACTGGACTATTAGGACAGGTTCCCAGTGACGTTCCTTGTCCTTTTTAATAGTTACTCAACATGTACAATATAGACCTGGCTTCATGCTAGGCACTATATCCGAAGATGGGAGGCAGTGTAAAGAACAGCGCATGCAGGGCCGGCGAGATAGCTCAGCGGACTAAGAGCCTGCTTTGGCAAGTGCAGGCACCAGGGTTCAATCTCCCTTCCCGCAGGCCACGCCAGCCCTGCCCCAGATGCCCTGAGCTGATGACTGAGTCTGGGCATGGTAGCACACACCTGTAATCCCAGCGCTGGGGAGGCTGAAAACAAGAGGATCACTAGGAGTCCTATTTGTGTAGTGAGACCCTGTAGACCCCGTATTAAATACATTTTTTTTTTTAAAAAAAGGATGCAGCCCTCTACTCTCAGTGAATAGCAAGTGGGTGTGTAACCACAGAGCAGAGTCTATGGTGCGCAGTATAGCAGAGTTATACTTGTGCTTTTATGTGTAGTTGAAATCACCCTCACTTTATCTGGCTGTATTGTGAACGCAAATGTGGGTAGAGAGCTGTAGAGCTCAGGACACGGTGTTCTTCTCTTAGCTTTGAATCATGCATGAAATCCCCAACACACTAAGTCTCAGGGAAGTACTTTAGAAGGAAATTCTCTAGAAGTTCAAGGAAAATAATCCCTTATGAGGTCTGATGAAAGGCTTGATAAGGAAAGCAGAGTTAGGTCCAAGCCTTGGGAAGCCACAGGACTAATGACGGCAGGAGGGCAAGGTAATCACCATGGAAACCAGTTGATGAGGTTGCAGATGTGACCTGTGTCTTAGGACACAGTAGAGCAGGGCATCTGAAGCAGTGAGTGGTGGGAGTGTGTGGGCACGAGGGAGGGCTAGCAGCTTGCTGTGGGACAGCCTTGACTGCTGAAGCAAACAGGCTCAACATATCAGAGGTGAGAGGCCTCGAGGCTTTCTCAGTTCTTAGCAGTAGAATAATCTTAAAAGGTTTTGTATAAGAAGATTACCATGCAGACAGCTCCTACTCACAAGTGGGCTGCCTGTTTCCTCTATAGGCCATCCTGTCCCACTCGCCCCTGTGGCCCGCTTGTCCCTTTACAAGTCTGTTTCCTAAGTTGTGACTTCATGGGCCCCCCAGTGGCTACCTTGGTCACTTAACTGCTTGCCCCAGGTTTCTTCTGGAAACATTAGACCTACAAGGGATCTGACACCCTATGGACTCCTCAATCACATTAAGCTTGACAAACAAGGCTCCATGTTCTGGAAACTCACATTGTATAACAGAATAGGAAAAACGTGTGGAAGGTTGAGTTAAAATATTTGATTTTATTTTGTTTAACTTATTGTTTGAATATTTCTTATGTGATCTGACCAAGGGTTACTTAAAAAAAAAAAAAACCAAAAACTTAGTCTATAGACAAAATGCTGTATCAAATAATTTGCTCTAATACGCTAGAATTTTCTCCTTCCCACTTTGAACTCTATACAATCCGACATACATAGCCTGCATCCTTCTCGAAGCCTTTGCTCACTTATCACCTCTCTGTCCTTCCTCCACCTGTGCTGCACCTCTCCTTCCCGCCTGACCTTCAGGACAGCTACACTGCAACAGAGAAATGCCAACATGTGCTGCCAATAGAGCAAGGTCACCAACTGATGGCCAGCAGCCAGGCTTGGTCAACAGGCTGGTTTTATATGATACATAAAGTTTTAAAGTCAGGAAAGTTTACATACACATCTGAAATTACAGCAGCTCCTGAAAACTAGAACAATCTGGTAGCACTGAATATCCCTACATAGTGTCAAATGGCCGCTCTCCACTGTCAAGGGGAGCCCACCCTCAGTGTGAGACCCCACCATGCTTCAGTGGTCACAACTGGCTGATATCTGACTTTTCATTGGTGTATATGTTTGTGAACCTTGTGATGAGATGTAGATGTGTGTGTGTGTGTGTGTGTGTGTGTGTAGTTTTACATATACAGTTATGTATATACATACATACACATGGAGAAGTACACACGGATGTTCTGAGCTGTCCGATGGGTGTTCTTGTCTGTGCTGATTGCTGAGGACACAAGAGGGAGGCCGGTCTCTGCTCCCGGAAGACATTTCAACCTACTTCAAAGAAGCTACATGTGTAAATGCTGTGTTTATATTAAGCTCTCACTCCAAATTGCAGCCAGCCCCTTGTTTCAGGTCCTTCAAGCCTGCTTGAAGAAATCAAGGAGGAAGAATTCTAAGAATGAAAGTCGGAGCTGTGCTGCCGTCGCTAACACCCTCAGCACAAGAAAGGAATCACTAGTCCTTGTCAAGTCACTCTGTCAGATGGCTTAGGCTGTTCCTGCTGTTCGCTGGGAATGTTGACATGCACACAGAGTGGTAGCAGATGATAACAGCTAAGGGATATGTTAAAATCAGGTTACTTTTCCTACAAGATCACCCAGTTATAAATGAAAGAAAGCATGGACGGTATCCCACATACAGAATGGGAAGAAAGGGCATTCTAGAATGATCATTATAACTGTGGCCTCGAGTGTTGTTCTAAGCTGCTTTGTCATTCTCTGCTTCAGTTTCTTTTCACTTGTATGAAGATATAAAAGTACCTGCCTCAAGGTTGTGAGTAGAATTACAAGCTTTGATAAAGATCCTGGGATTAGAACATCTGGCACGAAGTAAATGCCCAAGAAATACTTTGACAATGATGGTATCGAGTGATGACTGTAGTAGACCAGGAAACTGCCAGGGTCTGGGGACATAGCTCAGTAGAATAAGAGCTTCCCTGGCAAGCACAAGGGCCTGAGTTCAATCCCCGGTTCTGAAGAAGGAAAAAAAAAAAAAAGGAAACTGCCAGACATTATTTCTTTTTATTAACTCTGGTAGCTTAGTGCTTGATAAGCACTAGGAATGTAGCACAGGAGCTGCAAGCAGCACCCTAAAGGACACTTGAACACCAGGGTTGGCGCCCTCAGTACTTGGGGACTCTGCAGCAATGACCACGGAGAAGTGCGAGCTAGTCGGCTGGAGGACCAGACCTTGGCTGGCCACCGTGGCTGACAGCTAGGCTCAGCCGACATGTGAGGCCACCCCAGGTCCTCTCACTGACTGTTCATGACCACCACAGATGCAGGAGGGCCCAGCAGAGATCACCTGATGCAGACCAGGAGAAACACTTGGCCAGCGTGGAGGACCACGGCTAGATCAAGGACTGCTGTCAAGTCCCCAGAGTGACTATCAGAATGATGGTGTGTTGGGCACACGCTGAGTAGCTGCAGAACAGCTGACCTCAAGCAGTAACGTGTGAGGTCAAGTTCATCTTGCAGAAGGGAAAGAAACCTTAGAGAGCTGCAGGAATATAGCCAGCCTTACATAGCCAGTAAGAGGCTAAGCCGGGATTCAAGCCCACATTTCTCCAATTCTATCAGCCAGTTTTATCCGTCAGGTGGCCCTTGTCACTCCCACGTTTCAACGATGGAATTCAGAATCACATTATTTGGCAAGGGGTTTAAATGCTATTTGTGCTGCTACTGTTACTGTCTTCATTCATCTCTAATCCCTTTCATGGTTACCTTAAATTGCTTTTGAAAATACTGAAGTTCTTATTGTTCTTTTCATTTCACTGCATTTCTTTTCTTGAGACAGGGTCTCACTATGTAGTTCAGATGGGCCTTGAACTTGCTTGTGCAACCCAGGCTGGCCTTGAACTCGTGAACTCATCCTCCTGCCTCAGCCTCCTAAGTGCTGGGGTTATAGGTATGTGTTCCCATGGCCAGAATAGTTAAATTCTCACCAAATAAATTTTCTTTATATGGAGATTTGTAGGTTTAGTTTAAAAAGTAAAATTTTTTTTGGGGGGGGCTGACTCAGCCCACCCTGAGGGTGGGGCTGGTGCGCCATGTGGTGCCAGGCATCAAACCGCATTCCCCTGCACCTGTCTAAGCTTGCCTAAGCAGGTGCTTTAGACCACTAAGCTATCTTGCTGGTCCCTAAAAAATAAAAATTTTAAATCTTTTATCTCAGTTGATCAATATGGCAGTGGAAGATGCTGGAAAGAAGACAGGTCACAAGCTGGGCCTGGGGGTGCACACCTGTAATCCCAGCACTCAGAAACCTGAGGCAGGAGGACTGCTGAGAGTTTGAGGCCAGCCTGGGCTACAAAGTGGGCTCAAGGCCACCCTGAACTGCACAGCGAGACCCTGTCTCAAGAAATAAAAACAAACAAAAAAGACAGTCCACTACCCTATCATTTTCGAGATGAAATCAACATGTCACACCATGGTGGTGGCCAAGTGCTCGGAGCAGTGGGTTCGTTCAGCAAACAGACTGTATTTACCAAGCACATATAT